TTGATTCGTAAATCATATATCCGTACTTCATAAGCTAAAGACCATATATAACATTGATGGTTCTCTTCTCAATTTCTTCCAATGACCTTCAAGCCGTTACCAAAGAGTTGTTATTGGTAATGAGAATGTCATCTACCCTCTCAGTTAATATCTGGTGTCCCCCAGGGCTTCTAACCTTGGATCCCCCTTACATTTTGTATTTGTATATCAGATATTCCTCTTGTGCCTTTCGATAATACTGATATTGTTTTGTATGCCGAAGATACAAAATCTGACGTAAATACATCATCTTCTGATAATACCAATATACAAAGTAGGATATAGACTATCTCTCTGACTGGAGCACTTAGAAACAAAATGCGATCCCTCCAGCAAAATGTAATGTGATTATTTGGTTTTCAGGAAAACCACCTTTATCTCTCCATACGCATATAATCTGAGCCTCTCCTCTTGTGTAAGTAATTAAAAAAGACTTGTGCGATGTTACTCCTAAGCTCAGTTGGAATAGTCAGTGCGACAGAATTTATACAAAGAGCCAGCCACAACTTGTATGGTCAGAAGAGTGGCAAATTGTCATGATCAAAACGTCGCCGGCGCTTTACCTCTCCCTGGTTTCGTAGACCAAATCGAAAATTGTTTTCCATAATCTGCGCCCTTGTAATAAATCGCTTAGTGATAAATTAGAAAGTCCCAAAAGAGAGCTATTAAAATGGAATACATCTGAAGAGGCGCAGTTATCCACCTGAGCAATAATCAAAAAAGTGCAAGCTTTCGACAATCTCCCTTTGACTCAAAAGTTGACTGTGAATGATCTTATTTTTTTCCCAAAGTTCTGAACAATTTAATTCCTGTATGGATGCCTCACTATCTCACTTATATCAGGCACTTCTCGACTACAGACGTTGCCACCTCGACAGTCTGTCTATTGTGTCATCAATTTTACCTAAGTTAAGTCAAATTCACACACCTTATGTACCTCAAATAGCCCACTGGCAAAATCATTTTTCTACGAACTCATATACAGTGGATGGACTCCCCTTTACATTTAAGACAGATTGTGTCTACAAGTGTTTTCAAAGCTGAGGTCATTAGCATCTATGGAAATGTTCTTGGATAGTGAAACAACAGCCTAGCCTAATCTCTTTGCTCCCCCTATTATTATTAATTTGTTTTATTACTTTTTTTTATCTACTTCCTATACATTCAACATCAGATCACACAGCTGCACCCGCAACACCTCACACATTAAATGACTCAGATCAACGTATCTAATGTATCTGGAATTTGACGTATTGAAATACCAATTTTGACTATCTATCCACAGTTTATTCACATGATTTGTTGTTATTAAATATTTTTCATAATTTATTGGATTTAGATTAATTCTATGGTAATGGGTCCAAGTTACCTGCGGACAAGGTCACTATGTGTTTATACCGTGTATGGTGCCCGAATCAAATTTTACAGATGGGGGCATATATTTTGAACGATGCTCTTATTATATTCCATCTATTGCTGTACTCTGTAAAATTTGAAAAGTAATTAATAAAAAAAAAAATATTAACAGGACCTTCGACAGTCCAACCGGCGCCTCCTAGATAGTTATAAACCTACAATTCCAAAAAAAAGTTTTATATTTTTTTCCAAGTAATTTATAAAAATGATAAATGCATGTATTGACTTTAAATACAACCAATGCAAATATATTCACAATTCATGTAGTTTTTGCAACCAAGTAATTAAAACATTACAATTTGAGGAAGTGTACTGCATTCCTCAGGAAATATAAACCGCGCTTTTCATAAATCAGAGATAATGTTTGTTAACTCAACTCAAAATTTAACCGCGACGATGCATGCGAAGTGCGACGTCAGACGTCCCCAACTTTATAGTCCATGTTATAAGATACAAGCGCGAGCACAAAATTTTGTCTCTGGGGATTTTTAAATTGGGGTACCAAAAGTTTGCCGTCTAAAGTGAATAATGCAAATTCACCGTGTGTAGCAAAACACGTCGAGTGTACAAGGATACAAGATACCAAGGAACAAAAGTGATAATTATTTTATTGAATTCACAATAATATAATTCTGATATAAATAAGTTACACGCTTCTAATCATTTTAACAAATGTGTAGGATAAAATAGAAAATGATATATATAAAATGCTATTTTATCTTTAATTAGAATCAATTGTATGGGTCAAGGGGGGCATGCATCCGTGTAGGTGAGCCTCCTGTGCATTGCAAGAGTTAAAAGACGAAACATGTAATTTCTTGCTTAAAATGCATAAGCTCCTAAAATCCAATAGTTTGAAGGACGAACTATTGGATTGCAAAAGTAATGACGTTATGATTGATATTATAACTGAATATTACCATTTCCAGTCGTAACCGTTGAATCTTTTAATTCTGCATGACATTTGATATCTGGAGAGATTTATCCAAAATTCATATTACTAATATCACGTACTAGTGACGTGTAACCCTTGCCTACGCGCGGTCCGGACTTTCACTATCGCAGTTAAAATGCATATAATAAACGTGCAATTTATTTGAAAACACCTTTAGACATTTTCGTAGTTAAAACAGTGCGTATGTTATGAACTCGCCATTCCAACAGACCACAAATAATTCTGAGTGCACCTCACATAACTAATAGTAATACTTGATAGGCAAACTTGACTCTTGAGTTCCTGCCAAATTACCTAATTATATAAGCAAAATCTATTAATAGTTGGAGAGAAAAAAATAGAGGAAGTAGAGAGACACACAGACACACACTTAGTATTTGGTTCACAAATTCAATTAAAACCACTACACCGATCGATTTAAAAAACCTTCATAATTTGGGCTCGTCAGATTTTTTCTCGGCACTATACAATAAAACCACCCGTAACTCTTACCGTGTCTTGATTAATTAATTTCACACATCACAGACAGAGAGACTAGCACACATCCTGGATTATAGTAGTGATGATGTCATATAGGGCAAACATAAAACAAAGTGTGCGAATTTGTTGATTGGTGGGAGTGTTTTTAAAAAATGTATTCACATTTATCCTGTTATGATGACATTTTATACACTATCGAACCCTTCGTGAATAGAGAAAAGATATTATTCATTGACTTTATTTATGAATTCTAATCTTGTGCTTCAGTTTCTTTCTTTGCTTCAGGATGTAATGTACAATAGAAACAGGAACCAACAGGGGTGGAAAATCGTGTCATCAATTAAGTGACACGTTCAAAACACTAATACGATGATTGTTACGCTCAAGAGATGGCAGGAATTAAAGAAGAATCAGGTTTCCTGTCAAAAACGATTATTAACTATTCGGGAATTGGTACAATTCATTCTAATTAGAATCTAATTAAATTTACACACCATACAATCAAAACATTATATCAAATAAAAATGTCAAAGAATAATACTTTCTCTAAGTCCAAAGTTCGATAGTGAAGAAATGTCAGTCATAAAAGAAAATGAGAATAGCATTTTACAGCCCAACCATCAAACAATTCGCACCAAATTTGGGTTTAAGTATGCATTATATGTATAGTACACATCAATACAATAATCCCAATGTTTTACTGTCCTCTCTGTCTGTGCATGTGTGGGAATTAATTAATCAAGAAAACGTTAAGAGTTCCGGGGCTGGTTTAATCTGTATAGTGCCCTGAAAAACTCTGACGAAGCCAAATTATGAAGGTTTTTTTAAATCGATCGTGTTAAGGAGGTATAATTGATACCGATTTTGTGAACCAAATACTAAAGTGTGGTGTATATGTAGGTACTCTATCCAGCTCTCCCCTCTTTCACTCCCCTCATAATAGATTGCTATATAATTAGGTAATTTGGCAAGGGAACTTATCAAGAGTCATGATTGCCTACAATATTACTATTAGATATGTGGAGGTATGCTACTCCAGATTAAATTGTGGTCTGTTTGGGAATGACAGTTCATACATTCGCACAGTTTAACTACGAAAATGTAAAGCGTGTTTTTCAAATAAAATTGGCAATTTTATACTGCATTTTAAACTGCATAGTTGAAGTCCCGGGACCCGGCCGTAGGCACGTTACACTCACTAGTAGTGACATATGTGTAAAAAGAATTACTGGATAAATCATCCAGAATCAAATGTCATTCCGAATAAAAAATATCAAGGTTACCGAATTGAAATTGGTAATAATCAGTAAATGATTCATTCATAAAATTTTGCAATCCAATATTGACCTGTCAAATTATTTGATAATTTAGTGAGCTAAATGCATTTTGAAGCAAGAACATAACAATGTTTATTCGTTCCTTTTTACACTCTATGCAAGCACAGGAGGCCCCTCAAACACGATGCATGCATGAACCTACAAATTTGATTTACTTAAGCCAATAGCTTAATATTATAACATTTCAATTTTTATCTCTACACATATTGTAAAGATTAGTAAGCGTGTAACTTAAATTATATCAGAATTATAACATATTGTGAATTCAATAAAATAATTATCACTTTTGTATCCTTGTATCCTGTATCCTTGTTACACCACGGACGATTAATTGCTACACGGTTAATTTCATTATACACACTTAAGGCAACTTTGTACCCAATTAATCAAAATCAGAGACAAAATTTTCTGATCTCGCGCTCTGAATCTTATAACACGCCTATTAAAGTTGGAGACGTCTACGTCGTCACTTCCGCATGCATCGGTTCCCGTTATGGTCACCACGGTTACCACCACGGTCACCCTCACCACTCAGTTCATGACCACATATCTAAATTCCACTTTATAAGAAACATGCATCTCAGGTGAGAAATTCAAACTTAAACTCAACCAAATATCATGAGCAAATAACCCTTATAAACGAAATTCAAGTTCACGTTAGCAGAAAGAACAGTTTAGAGAACTCCAAAACTTAATGGAGGCCCACACTCCTTATATGGGCATCACGTGGGCCCACACTTATGGAAAGTAACACTGTATGATGTTGTTGGTACCTGTTCTAGTTTCTGATGGAAAGTAACACTGTAGCTGAGTGCCTCCTTGTGAGTGTTGAGTCTAGAAGTAAGTCCCTGCCACAGAGTGTCCAGCCTCTTGGTCGTTTCCCTGACTCTCTCTCCGTCTACATTACCCGCCTTAACCAGCTGTTCTGCTGTCTTCAACAGTTGACTGAGGAGTATTAAACAAGTCAGTATTACACAGTATCTTCACCGCAATTACAAGTATCTCAACCAGTCAATGATTTAAGAAACTGCTAGACGCTCTGATTCGATGAACGTTACAGTTGGAAATAGTTTGCGGTCACAATTCCCTTGATAGTTTACAAAACAGGTTTAGCTTAATAAGTAAGAACCTTTTGCTCTTTTGTAAGACACGAGCTAGAAGCGTCTGAAAGCAAGACGGGGGGGGGGGCTCCCAGCGAGACAGTAGTCTCTATATTGTATCTAATTAATCAAATTTTACCTTTTTAAATTTCACAGACAAAGTAAATGAATCGAGGTTGTAACTTTAAAGTAATAACGGAAACACAACACCACACAGAGGCCCTTACCTTGCAGTGGCGTAAGTCCGGAGAGCTCCAGCTTCCAGCTGCTCGTGATCTCTCAGAAGTAGAGCTGCTTCAAGATGAGACTTTCCAATCTCACACTTCTGACCAAACGCAGCGAGATGTGCCTCTATCTGCTGAGTAACCTGAGGGTCGAGGGAGAGAGGTGGTAAGTGGGGGTTGTGGGGGTGGACTAGAGGAGAAGTGGGGGTTGTGGGGGTAGACTAGAGGAGAAGTGGGGGTTTTGGGGGTATACTAGAGGAGAAGTGGGGGTTTTGGGGTAGACTAGAGGAGGAGTGGGGGTTTTGGGGTAGACTAGAGGAGAAGTGGGGGTTTTGGGGGTAGACTAGAGGAGAAGTGTGGGTTTTGGGGGTAGACTAGAGGAGAAGTGGGGGTTTTGGGGGTAAACTAGAGGAAAAGTGGGGGTTTTGGGGTAGACTAGAGGAGAAGTGGGGGTTGTGGGGGTAGACTAGAGGAGAAGTGTGGGTTTTGGGGGTAGACTAGAGGAGAAGTGGGGGTTTTGGGGGTAAACTAGAGGAAAAGTGGGGGTTTTGGGGTAGACTAGAGGAGAAGTGGGGGTTGTGGGGTAGACTAGAGGAGAAGTGGGGGTTTTGGGGGTAAACTACAGGAAAAGTGGGGGTTTTGGGGTAGACTAGAGGAGAAGTGGGGGTTTTGGGGGTATACTAGAGGAGAAGTGGGGGTTTTGGGGTAGACTAGAGGAGGAGTGGGGGTTTTGGGGTAGACTAGAGGAGAAGTGGGGGTTTTGGGGTAGACTAGAGGAGAAGTGGGGGTTTTGGGGGTAGACTAACGTACCTTGTTAGTAAAAGGAATGATCTAGATTAAACTGACGTACCTTGTTGGAAAAAGGAATGATCTAGATTAAACTAACGTACCTTGTTAGTAAAAGGAATGATCTAGATTGAACTAACGTACCTTGTTAGTAAAAGGAATGATCTAGATTAAACTGACGTACCTTGCTAGTAAAAGGAATGATCTAGATTAAACTAACGTACCTTGTTAGTAAAAGGAATGATCTAGATTAAATTAACGTACCTTGTTAGTAAAAGGAATGATCTAGATTAAACTAACGTACCTTGTTAGTAAAAGGAATGATCTAGATTAAACTAACGTACCTTGTTAGTAAAAGGAATGATCTAGATTAAACTGACGTACCTTGTTAGTAAAAGGAATGATCTAGATTAAACTAACGTACCTTGTTAGTAAAAGGAATGATCTAGATTAAACTGACGTACCTTGTTAGTAAAAGGAATGATCTAGGTTAAACTAACGTACCTTGCTAGTAAAAGGAATGATCTAGATTAAACTAATGTACCTTGTTAGTAAAAGGAATGATCTAGATTAAACTAATGTACCTTGTTAGTAAAAGGAATGATCTAGATTAAACTGACGTACCTTGTTGGAAAAAGGAATGATCTAGATTAAACTAACGTACCTTGTTAGTAAAAGGAATGATCTAAATTAAACTAACGTACCTTGTTAGTAAAAGGAATGATCTAGATTAAACTGACGTACCTTGCTAGTAAAAGGAATGATCTAGATTAAACTGACGTACCTTGCTAGTAAAAGGAATGATCTAGATTAAATTAACGTACCTTGTTAGTAAAAGGAATGATCTAGATTAAACTAACGTACCTTGTTAGTAAAAGGAATGATCTAGATTAAACTAACGTACCTTGTTAGTAAAAGGAATGATCTAGATTAAACTAACGTACCTTGTTAGTAAAAGGAATGATCTAGATTAAACTGACGTACCTTGTTAGTAAAAGGAATGATCTAGGTTAAACTAACGTACCTTGTTAGTAAAAGGAATGATCTAGATTAAACTAACGTACCTTGTTAGTAAAAGGAATGATCTAGATTAAACTAACGTACCTTGCTAGTAAAAGGAATGATCTAGATCAAACTAATGTACCTTGTTAGTAAAAGGAATGATCTAGATTAAACTAATGTACCTTGTTAGTAGAAGGAATGATCTAGATTAAACTAATGTACCTTGTTAGTAAAAGGAATGATCTAGATTGAACTGACGTACCTTGTTAGTAAAAGGAATGATCTAGATTAAACTAACGTACCTTGTTGGCTCCCTCCATGAAAATCACCTCCTTATCTCTCACTAACTGAAACGAACATTGTTAACTATTTATTCAGTACAACAATATTACAGTTCATTTTACAAAGTAGTAATAAACATTGTTAACTATTTATTCAGTACAACAATATTATAGTTCATTTTACAAATAGTAATAAACATTGTTAACTATTTATTCAGTACAACAATATTATAGTTCATTTTACAAAGTAGTAATAAACATTGTTAACTATTTATTCAGTACAACAATATTATAGTTCATTTTACAAAGTAGTAATAAACATTGTTAACTATTTATTCAGTACAACAATATTATAGTTCATTTTACAAAGTAGTAATAAACATTGTTAACTATTTATTCAGTACAACAATATTATAGTTCATTTTACAAAGTAGTAATAAACATTGTTAACTATTTATTCAGTACAACAATATTATAGTTCATTTTACAAATAGTAATAAGCATTGTTAACTATTTATTTAGTACAAAAATACTTAATATAGTTCATTTTACAAAGTAGTAATACATATCTTATTAATAACCTGCCACGTAAAGTTCTTGAATTAATGATTTACAACTAACTTATCCTCGAATCAGTGCACAACTATGTAAACTATGTGAACTGGGTGTTTCCAGTAAGTATAATGTGACCTAAGCTAACTGCACAGTCCGCACTGATAATGATCAGGTTGAAGTGTAAATATAGTGACACTGAGCCTTTAGAGTTTAGACACTGGTCACTCAGGAATAAGATGAGATACTGTCACAGTGACGTAGTACTCATGTTATATAATATATCCTGTGTGAAGTGGTAACAACTGCACTGTTGACATCTCACACGGAAACTACATGTTAGATAAAAGACAAACAATCAACTGATTGCACGTGTGCAGATCTCCTGTCAATCAAGCTAGTTCATGGCACGTTCTGTAGAGGTTGTGTATATTGTACAAAACAACATTTACGAGTTTGAAATCTATTCGTTTGTTTGTTTTCCACTTGTCTCACGCTGTTCAACTATGTGTTAATGTCATTTTAATAATAATCTCTATAACATATCTCTCTAAATATATATCTATGAACATTCAACTCAGGTTCAATTGTTAGTGCAGAATTGTAGACTTAGCGGAGATATAAAAGATTAACGTGGTAACTCGTACTCCGTTTTATAGATCTAGATTGTAGAGTACGCTATATAAATATTTACCACATACCACACTTTATTTTATCACAAACGACTAGTAATCTGAGTACCCGTCTAGAGATTTGGCTGCCGAACAAGAAACAGTCGGATATCAATTTATTTTCTTGTTTGTTAGACCAGAACCGAGTGGCAAACAGAAGAATTAAAATTATACTGAAAGGTTCTGGAATTTCTAACCGCTGGTTGCTAGATGTCAGAAAATTGTTTTATCTGCCATTGAACCATGTGATCCTGTGATGAGGACCCGGCAATACTCAATAGCCGTTGGATCACAAGCAGAAACTATTTGTCGAACTAGAGTACGCTGCCTGGACTCTAGTTCGACGCGTACCGAAGTTCGACAGGGGTGATATCTGGCGAAGTTGTCGAACTAAAGTACGTGTATCAAGATAACCAGTGTATATTATTAAACACTCTCAATGAAATAGGGATAGAGGCACTTACTTTCCAGGCCAGTAAGCCGATAAGTACACTAATCTTACATTCACCAGTTTTAAAACATTTCTTTTAACTCTATTTCCGTACACAGGGCTACTACTTAAAAGTAAATCTATTTATAGCTAATAAGGTCGTGCCTTGTCCACTGGGTGGTTAACTTTGTCACATAACCATATTGTCTTTATAGCTAATAAGGTCGTGCCTTGTCCACTGGGTGGTTAACTTTGTCACATAACCATATTGTCTTTATAGCTAATAAGGTCGTGCCTTGTCCACTGGGTGGTTAACTTTGTCACATAACCATATCTATTTATAGCTAATAAGGTCGTGCCTTGTCCACTGGGTTAACTTTGTCACATAACCATATTGTAAATCTATTTATAGCTAATAAGGTCGTGCCTTGTCCACTGGGTGGTTAACTTTGTCACATAACCATATTGTCTTTGTCAGCTGGAAATATATCGCTGGCCGGCAGCGAGATGTAAACTTTGTCACACTATAAATATGTGACAGAGTTAACATGGCCCGTTACTGCCGGCAGCGAGATGTAAACTTTGTCACACTATAAATATGTGACAGAGTTAACATGGCCCGTTGCTGCCGGCAGCGAGATGTAAACTTTGTCACACTATAAATATGTGACAGAGTTAACATGACCCCTTGCTGCCGGCAGCGAGATGTAAACTTTGTCACACTATAAATATGTGACAGAGTTAACATGGCCCGTTACTGCCGGCAGCGAGATGTAAACTTTGTCACACTATAAATATGTGACAGAGTTAACATGGCCCGTTACTGCCGGCAGCGAGATGTAAACTTTGTCACACTATAAATATGTGACAGAGTTAACATGACCCGTTACTGCCGGCAGCGAGATGTAAACTTTGTCACACTATAAATATGTGACAGAGTTAACATGGCCCGTTACTGCCGGCAGCGAGATGTAAACTTTGTCACACTATAAATATGTGACAGAGTTAACATGACCCCTTGCTGCCGGCAGCGAGATGTTAACTTTGTCACACTATAAATATGTGACAGAGTTAACATGGCCCGTTACTGCCGGCAGCGAGATGTAAACTTTGTCACACTAAAAATATGTGACAGAGTTAACATGACCCGTTACTGCCGGTAGCGAGATGTAAACTTTGTCACACTATAAATATGTGACAGAGTTAACATGACCCGTTACTGCCGGCAGCGAGATGTAAACTTTGTCACACTATAAATATGTGACAGAGTTAACATGGCCCGTTACTGCCGGCAGCGAGATGTAAACTTTGTCACACTATAAATATGTGACAGAGTTAACATGACCCGTTACTGCCGGCAGCGAGATGTAAACTTTGTCACACTATAAATATGTGATAGAGTTAACATGACCCGTTACTGCCGGCAGCGAGATGTAAACTTTGTCACACTATAAATATGTGACAGAGTTAACATGACCCCTTGCTGCCGGCAGCGAGATGTTAACTTTGTCACACTATAAATATGTGACAGAGTTAACATGGCCCGTTACTGCCGGCAGCGAGATGTAAACTTTGTCACACTATAAATATGTGACAGAGTTAACATGACCCGTTACTGCCGGCAGCGAGATGTAAACTTTGTCACACTATAAATATGTGACAGAGTTAACATGACCCGTTACTGCCGGCAGCGAGATGTAAACTTTGTCACACTATAAATATGTAACAGAGTTAACATGGCCCGTTACTGCCGGCAGCGAGATGTAAACTTTGTCACACTATAAATATGTGACAGAGTTAACATGACCCGTTACTGCCGGCAGCGAGATGTAAACTTTGTCACACTATAAATATGTGACAGAGTTAACATGACCCGTTACTGCCGGCAGCGAGATGTAAACTTTGTCACACTATAAATATGTGACAGAGTTAACATGACCCCTTGCTGCCGGCAGCGAGATGTTAACTTTGTCACACTATAAATATGTGACAGAGTTAACATGGCCCCTTGCTGCTATAATTAATAATTAGTAAAGTAACCACTAACTCTGCTACATGTGAGATCTAGTATAATGTATTTAATATGCTAATTTAATGTTACACTAGACTGCTCTTTAAACTACACAACTTTACACCTGATCATTACACACCCCTCTTAAGACAGAGAAGCATGCTCACTAGACTCACTACTACTCCAAGAGTGTGTATCACTAACAACTTACTGTGAGAGTTGTATGATCACACTAGTACTACATTATTTCACGAGCATGCTATATCAGCTTTTTGGCAGTTAGCCAAGCAATAAATGATGTTTTTAATAGAAGTAAACTGTGTTGTGTGTACACAGTTAGTGAACAGCTAGCAATACACTGGTTACAGTAGACTGAGGTGGATGACCTTACAAAGTACGTTTTTGTACTGATAAGCAATTAGCAGAGACAATGATGATGATTTACTCCAGATGATGATTGATATGTTTTACTGTTTGTAGTTGCACGGGGGGTTTGTGGTTATATAACTACATAATACGTGTTTTAACTATTAGCTAACTTGATAAAGTTGCCAAGCAACCACAAAACTCTAATTCACTGAACCGCCCAGAAAACTATAAATGTATTGGTAAACATAGGTCACATAGGCAGGTCAAGTGATGATATGTACACCACTAAAAGGCAGTAAAGTAAGGATTTCTATTTTCTGCAGTACATTGTGTGCAACTCATTGACTTGCGGTTCCCTTAGCTACTATATACACAGCTATGCTTTTCTGAAAACACTAACATATTATCGTAAAAATGAATTAAAGTATAGGATTTATACTGTAATTTAATTTTATAACGACTGGAATTCTTATTATAATTTGTCCAGGATATTAACTTGAAAGTAGGTAAATAGATCGAGATATAGTAAATGGTATATAGATATAGATATAGGAAATTACTCTGTATCCCCGTACATATTTGTAGACTGATAATCTCGTGTGAACAGTAAGTTTTCAATAGATATGTTGTTGAAAAGTCCCGTAGGTAATTACTGACCTAGTGTTAGTAACAAGTGTTGATAAGTTAATGAGTATTACAGCTGCTCAGGTACCACGTGACACTTGATGAAAAGCAGATAAATTGACGCAAGTTAGTTAGACACACAAGGTTCCTGTGTGTCTAACTTTATTAGATCATTTACTGGTGTAAGATGAAACACTGATTCTACACAATCACTAAGATAACTATAACGTACCGAACATCAACTAAAAGAGAGAGTAATTAATTAAGAGTCTAATTGAAGTACAATTAATTAAAAAGAAAACAAGGAGGAACTTGTACGTCTGCAATGTAGCGTGAGGAGAAAAGACAACTCTAACTAATACAGAGTGAGGTTGTGCAGGATTATAATAAGGGAGTGTAAGTTAAACCACTTACCTAGCTCAGACAATGCTGCTCACTCTGGTATAATATCATTAACTCTATCAGAAAGTACACAGTAAACAGTACAACAAGAGAAACAGCAGCCCCTATCAACCCTGGATACACATATATTTATGAAGGAGCATACAGTATACGTAACGTCTAATGGGTCATTATCGTATTTAGCTGGTGGGTACCTATTGGTTGTGACCAGATCAGCTGATGTAAAGCGAGCTGTGAATGGCTGGTTGGTGTCGGGCACCTTGTGCCTACATACCCTCCAAGGTGCTGCTTGCCCTCTTTGTTTGCCGCCCAAATCCACCCTTATTGTTGTTGAGTGCAGTATAAAGGTTCATTATTTGCATTGTCTCTAGTTTAGACAGACTGGTGACTGCTAGATAAGGTGGAGATGCACTGACCGATTATAATTGGGTCATTAAGGGCATGTTACAGACACTGAGATATTGTTAACTATAATTACAAATCAGGGAACTCAGCTTTTAACTAAAACTCTACAACTCTAATACATTTATTTACTGATTATCTAGTCGGGACTAGCTTTATCAGATTCAGTAAGTCTGAGGTAGTAACGTTTACCTGCTGTCTACTCAGGACAAATATTTAACAACATCTTTATTTTTGTATTCTAGGACAAAAAAAATGCGATTTTCAATACTTTTGTTTCTAATATGAGATCGCTGATATTATAAACAATGTTTACCAAGAAACTATAACTTACGTTGGTAATTAGTAAGTAGCTATTGTACGGGGGTGATGCAACGTCAATTAATGTCAATTAATGTCAATTAATGTCAATTAATGTCAATTAATGTCAATTAATGTCAATGTCAGTTTTGCAAAATTTTGGAATACTGACATTAATTGACACGATATTTTTCGACCAGAGATTATGTAGTTCTACCATATTTTTAGCACTTTAGAACGTTTATATCATCAATTTATGCACTACTATCACATATGGAAATGTGAAATGTGAAAAAAATTCAGATCATTAAACAATAAAACTAAAATAATACGGTTTTCCGAAATTTAATTTTCTTAAATGGGCGTGGCCATCCAAGGGTGTGGTTCTCAACATCATCAGAACTTAAAACCCACATTAAACAAAATGCCTTCGTGACATTTATATTTGAATAACGAATCTTAAACAGCTAACATTACTCCTTCATACTAAAAAAGCCGATTCTAGATATTTTACCTGTATAAGAAACCAATAAAATATGGGCGTGGCCAGTGGGGACCGAAGATGGAAGAGTTGGAAGCTGAAATTTTTTTTGTGGTCTTTGAACCTAAGGATCAACAGATAAGAACATACTCATAATTATTCAAGGACATTTTGTTTTTTTGAACCGGTCTAACTTACATAGACGTGAATATCTTGAATATTTATCGAATAATGATAATCTCAAATTTCAAGACGAATTAATGTCAATTAATGTCAATTAATGTCAATTAATGTCAATTAATGTCAATTAATGTCAATTAATGTCAATGTCAGTTTGGGGTTTTTATGGAATACTGACATTAATTGACGTTGCATCACCCCCTATTGTACTCCTAAAATCTCAGCTTAACTACAATCCTCTACAGTCAAAAGGTTTCTGTTAGTGCTTCGAGATTGACGACTAGAGATATTAGCGAGAATATCAAATAATATAATATTTCATATTTATAGGGCTTTCAAACACGTGTAACATTTCCTAACTACTAACTAAAACTCCTCACTGAAATATAAGCTGATTTAGAGAGTTAGAGATAACTTTATATTTCGTAAACTCTAGTAGCTGTCCTGAATATTCTATATATCACTTACTATATCTCTCAAAGTATCCCAGTTTTTGAACAGTTGGACAGCTTATTAACCTATCCTCTCCAGTAATTGAGCACATGTTACTATAAATAGATCTTAAGTAGCAGTGCTTATTATAGCAGAGTAAAAGGAAACTGTACAGTATACATTGTTTTTATATTTATATATATGTTTTTATATTTATATATATGTTTTTATATTTATATATGTTTATAAACATTAGTACAGACTACAGACACAGTGAGGGGACATTGTTTTCTCTTGAAGTGCACTTTATTAGGTAACAATAACATCATCATTCATCATGTAGGTAACAATAAAAACATCATGTAGGGAGGTAAGGTAATTTTAATTGTTCCAGTTCAACAGGCGGGAAGGCAAGAAATTAAGAAATAGTCTCAATTTAAACCCAATCATCAGTGCATAACGATGACGTAGCAAAACTCTGTACTCTAAATGTTATCTAACATTTTTTTGCTTGATGATTTTACAATTTTTGCATCTATCTATTTTTCCAGAAATAGCTTGCGTATAATATGCAGCAAGGGAACCGATAAAATATTTCATAATCAAGCAAAGACAGAAATTCGTATGCACAGGCTATGATCCTATGTACTTTATCATAGTTTCATGCAATTAAGAGTGAAAAGTTTAACTCTTTCTGTGGAGTTATGTAACAAGGCTAGGCGAAACAATGTCAGTTCAGACTTTGAGGCATCTTCCAGAGAACAACAACAACAACTATACACTTGGAACTGCAGTTTTAAATATTAATCTTAGTTCACGTTCTAACTAGAATAGCTTCCTGTCTAAAACGTGTCAGATAATGAGAGTTAAAACTGCTTGTTAAAATGTTACGGACCTTTCCATTTGCTTTAATCTTTGGTCCAAGATACTCAACATCAACCATGTTATCTACACTATCTAATCTCATTAATGAAACGGGAAAGCTTTGAAATTTATCAAGTAAACGTGATGGAACTAGAATAGGATTGAGACGGTACAAAATGTTGTAGTATTACAAAGCAATGTGCGATAATGAGCTCAACCCCCAACTTGACTCAAGGAGGTACTATAGTAGTATACTACAAAGAACCATCTAATTTACATGATTACAGCAAGGTGGGATTACTTAATTAACTAAATGTAGAGACGGTGGAGTCAGCGGTCACAAAGCTAGTGCTTATCATAACAATGATCTGAATTATTCATAGCTCAAGGCTGGTTAATCCATTAAAATATCTTACCTGAAACATCAGGGAAGAGCTGTTAATTGCGTGAGTTACATGGTTTATACATTTAACAGGACATGGTTTATTTCTTAATTGGTTACCGAAAATTAACTGCAATATAATTGTAATGTCACTGAAAAAGCTTGTCAGAACAGTAAACTGACCTGATGTCACTGAAAAAGCTTGTCAGAACAGTAAACTCACCTGATCAGTCATCCCTGATCTCATCTGATGGGTCATATTTTACAGTTGTCACGGAGTAAGTGTAAAGTTGGTAGAAAGGTCCATTGTTCAGTGTAGAAACATGTTTATATCACATACTGAAAATAAAAATTAGATAATAATAATCTACATTTTAGAATACAGTTCAAGTTCAAACTAAGGAAAAGTTATGTATGACTTAATCTTTAACAGTAGAAAAGTAGAACCACTAGTACGGGTAAATGCCTCACAGAATGGCCAAATTTGTAAATGTTTTTGTAACTAATTTTTTATAAAAGACTGGTAGATTTTGTGGATACCATATGAAACAAAAGTCTTCTGGCAACACTTCCTGTGGTGAAATCATTAACTAGGACCACATTTTCTGGCATAAATATGACTGTTTATGTAGAAATTTTGAGCACTGAAAAATTTGTTTTCAAATTTTTGAACTAAGTTTACATTTTGGTGAGAACTTCTGGCACCAGTATGACAGAAGATGTTCAAAGAATAGTATTCATCAAACAAAACGAACATTGTTCAATATAGGAAGAAAAAAATGCTAAAATGGCTACACGCCTCACAAAATGGCCAAAATATGCCTCACAAAATTTGTTTTCAAATTTTTGAACTAAGTTTGCATTTTGGTGAGAACTTCTGGCACCAGTATGACAGAAGATGTTGCCCCACGAAAAACCTCACCGAACCTCCACGCGGTGTGGGGTGGGTGGCTCGAACGGGAGGTGCATGGGTGTTTCTAACCTATGCAAAGGAAGGGACTAGCCATCTCTACAACAAGGAAAGGCTCTAATAGCCTCTACTAACCTTAGAACCGCAGCATAACCGCTTTTCCCACAGGCAAATAACACCTTCCGCAGGAAACTAACACGCTCACAGGCCCCACATGACGTGTAACCCCAGGATTTGGTTTTGGAACAGACACTGAAAACAACGATAGAGGAGCGGTCTACACGCTCACAGGCTACCATGTCTCGTGTAACCCCAGGATTAGACACGTTCACATGCTACCATGTCTCGTGTAACCCCAGTATTTGGTTTTGGATCGGGCACTCAAAACAACGATAGAGGAGCGGTCTACACGCTCACAGGCTACCATGTCTCGTGTAACCCCAGGATTTGACAAGTTCACAGGCTACCATGTCTCGTGTAACCTTAGGATTTAAACACGCTCACAGGCTACCACGCCTCGTGTAACCCTAGGACTCTAACACTTAACAGACTCTAACACGCTCACAGGCTTCCATGCCTCGTGTACCCCAGGATTTGGTTTTGGATCGGACACTGAAAACAACGATAGAGGAGCGGTCTACACGCTCACAGGCTACCATGTCTCGTGTAACCCCAGGATTTTACACGTTCACAGGCTACCACGCCTCGTGTACCCTAGGATTTTGTTTTGGATCGGACACTCAAAACAACGATAGAGGAGCGGTCTACACGCTCACAGACTACCACGTCTCGTGTAACCCCAGGATTTAACACGCTCACAGGCTACCAAGTCTCGTGTAACCTTAGGATTGAACACGCTCACAGGCTACCACGTCTCGTGTAACCCTAGGACTCTAACACTTAACAGACTCTAACACGCTCACAGGCTTCCACGTCTCGTGTACCCTAGGATTTGGTTTTGGATCGGACACTCAAAACAACGATAGAGGAGCGGACTACACGCTCACAGGCTACCATGTCTCGTGTAACCCCAGGATTTTACACGTCCAAAGGCTACCACGCCTCGTGTACTTAGGATTTGGTTTTGGATCGGACACTCAAAACAATGATAGAGGAGCGGTCTACACGCTCACAGGCTACCATGTCTCGTGTAACCCTAGGATTTAACACGCTCACAGGCTACGACGTCTCGTGTAGCCCTAGGACTCTAACACTTAACAGACTCTAACACGCTCACAGGCTTCCACGTCTCGTGTACCCTAGGATTTGGTTTTTTGATCGGACACTCAAAACAACGATAGAGGAGTGGTCAACAGTGACGTTACAGGAACATTGCATACTCCTACGAGTTGCATGTAGCAGGCCATGACCGTCCCTGGAAGTCCCTGTCTCCTCATCGTTAACCCGTAAGGGGTTGCACCAGGGGCGGTGGTAACAGAACTTCAAGACTCTCGGAGTCTGTTGTCGATATCTATGTATAATATAATTATGGTATATAACTTGGGAGTCTCTCTCTCTAGCAGCAGGAGTTGGAGAATGGAGACGCGTTGTGAAAGCCACCGCAAGGAAGGCTTACAGTCGACGCCGACCAATCAAAAGAAAGAAGACAGAAGATGTTTAAAGAATAGTATTCATCAAACAAAACGAACGTTGTTCAATAGAGGAAGAAACAAAATGTTAAAATGGCTAAACGCCTCACAAAATGGCCAAAATATGCCTCACAAAATGGCCAAAATTTAAAACTCCTTTTATTCAATGAAACAATAAGTCTAAAGTATTCACAAGCTATTTATCATACAATAACACCCCAGATAGAGTGTTTTTACAGCCGAATGAAGGTTATAAATCATGAAATCAGGGAATATGAACAACGCCACACAAAATGGCCATTTTTGGTGTAGGAAATTATGCCCTTTTTATTCAGTTCTAAGAAATTTCACCTATATGGGGTGTTAACAAGGCATATTAATACCAGCAGCATGCCTAAAACAAGAGCCAAAGGTTTTGGAAAAATAAAATTTTCTCGTTTTCTTTTTTTTTTGCCATTTTGTCAGGCATTTTTTCTTTTTTGTGAAATAATTTTTCACAGCTCAGTTTTTTCGTGAGTTTTAGGTTATTACCCCATTCCTTAATAGGTTTTCTAACAACGTGTGGTGATAGAAATTTAAAAAGTATCTCCATCAACAGAATTATAGAAATTCAGATTTGGCCATTCTGTGAGGCATGTTTTTTTGGAGGAAGATTTTCCGGCCAATTTTTCTCAAAGAAAAAATGGTTATGAGATTAAATGAACCCCCGGGAAGAAAAATATGAGTGTCAACTTAGCTTCTTATGAAATAAAAACTGGAATAAAGTGTGTGTTGTGATTTTGAGAGACCTTCCTTTTTTTTGGCTATTCTGTGAGGCAAATACCCGTACCCCATTTTAATACTTTAGAAAGCTTAGACAGTTTCTTCTCTAAGGCCTTACAATTCTTACATACCTACAGGGTGGGCCAAAAGTCAGTACCCATACGTTGGCCTTAATAGCTCCGCCGTGTTTTATATTTGAGAGCTGTTGCTTTGCAGATGGCATACTGTACTTACTGGTTCGAGGATTCCGTCGTCAAAATTTGAAAATTCGAATATTTTAGACCACGCCCATTCAATTTTAAAACACCTATACTGTTTTCTCTGAACATGCTGAACGCCTAATGTTTTTAGAGACGGTAGATTATCAAATGTTGCATATGATCTGAAAACATGAGGCAAAACGGATTAGAAATGACGAAGTTATCAAACATTTTCTGTATCTCGTTAACAAATTGACTGGGTGATTATGTGACACCGTGACACGACACCTTAATTGGGCACCCTTAACAATTCCCATAATGTTTAACGGGGTAGTTAACGGGGTCACCTTATCACGTGATTAGGTAAACCAATCACCTGATCACACGTAATGAATAAACTCGTTATGCTTCATATCTCGGTCATCTGAGAAGCTACAGTTCTAATTCTTTCAGGACAAACGTTATTCGAATGGCCAAACACAATTCAATAAAATTTAGCTTGATCTGACTATCCAAACTATCAAATAAATGTGAAAATGAACTTCCATTTGAAAAAAATGAACGTGAATATTTTTCGAGTTGACAAATTCCTCGAACCAGTGGTGGTACTAAGTCATACCAGAAGGAAGTATTTAAATTCGGCATTCAGTGACTGAGCTTTAAAGTCCAACGTATGGGTACTGACTTTTGGCCCACCCTGTACATTACTTCTGAGTGTTGCCCAAGTTTTTCAAACGTTTTTTGGTGCATGCAACACTTGTCACTTGGTATTCATAATTGGGCCATTTTACAATATTATTCATAGCCGATGACCTGAGACTATTTGTTATCGCAATTATAATCATCACTGAAAGTTTCAAGACCATCGAGTAATTATTAATGGAGTTATTGTAAAAATAAGAAAATCGCCCATTTTGGCAGTGAAACAAAACCACCAACCAGGTTTGAACATGTCCATGATACCATTTACCACAGTGACCATCAAACTTCACTCGAGGCCAATGACATCTTGAGAGCATTCACCACATGGATACACAACAGGAGGGGCACCATTGTCCATTCTATTTCTGATTGGTGCCTCAACAGGGCAATGAACATTAAGAGTTTCTAGTTTTACTGAAAGATATGTGTGTACTACTTTTACTGAGTCTACTTCTAGGACTTGAGGTTTAATTGACCAAGGATTTTCTGATACCCACCTAACAAATTATACCCAGCTAAAACGTTTTAAAACATCAATAATTTAGTACAAAATTAACAATTTTAACAATTATTACACTTCAAAATAATAAAATAAATAATCATAAAATTACTGTATTTGACTTTAACAGTTATTTGATGTTCCGAAACGAAACTGCGGTTGAAGATGCAGTTACATTAACGGGATATACTCCTAAATATTTGTTTTAAATATCAAGACCGTCGACGATCAGTCCAACTCGTTACTCGGTGCACTTTTTGGTATGTTATAAACCTACAGGCTATAGAAAACACTAGTTCTCAATGGTAAATTTTCCCCAAAATATCTATTTAAAGCAGTTAATATCCAATATTTGCTTTTTTGTGAGCTAAACAGCTCAAATAGAAAAACCTATTCTCATCACCCATGATAATATTATTACAATATGTTAATGTAAAATGTTTGTTGTCAAATAAACAGAATCCAATATTGCTACAATTCAATATATTTGGTAGTTCATCCATTATCTTTTATTCGAATAGTAGCAAAATTAGCAAAAATGAAATGCTATGATAAATCTCATTTTCTAAAAATTAAAATTAATAAAACCTTATTTTTTGACAAATTAATTTTTCGCTCTCAATTTAGTTCCTGGCTTTTTACAATTTCAATACACATATGACATAGTTATTCACTAATTATAGTCTTTGA